TCTTTCTCTTGATGAGTATGTTCTCATGAGAATGGACTGGAATCAGAAAAGACTGGAAACCGAGCAGGAAATCCTTAGCAAAATCTAGAGGCAGAGGTCATCATAATGCACTCTGTGCAGTTCAAGATGTTTTCTGATAAATGCTCCTCTGAAAGGTGGTTACTGAAGTCCCATGACAAGTATATGGCCACATGAATGGGTGCGTGCGTGTGTGTGTGTTTGAAAACAGGCAAACTAGAACATTCTTTAGAAGCCATAGCTCTTGACTCAGAGCTATGAGTCTACTGGTTTTGGCTTAGCCAAAGCCTCCTTGTTTCGGCTGGAAAAGGAGAAACAGAACCAGAGAATTTCTGAGCTCTTCCCAGCTACAAAGTTCTAAGTAACTAAGGCAGAGAAGCAAGGCAAGACTCAGGCTCTTGGTTGGCATTCTTACGCAGCGCACTCTTTCTTGTTTGATCTGTCTGGGAAGTGGGGCATGCTACTTGGCTGGATATTCTGCTTGTCTCCTGCTTTTTACATCACTGTGGCACTATTACAGTATTAGCATCATTAACAGAGTCCTGGAGCTGACTGGCGGGAAGGAAAATGAGCCGAAGATGGGGCTTCATAGCAGTATGACTAGGTTTGGGGACCTTGCTGTCTCCTATTTCCTCTGACAATAAAGAAGTCTCACAATTCAGCATTTTATTATGCTTTAGGTGTTTGGAAATGTTGAAATCCTACTGCTCTCACTCTGAGCTGTATGATTTCCTTGAAATTCTGTGGTGGTAGTAGATTTTGGAAGTCTGCACTGAGGAACTGTGCAGGCTTAGGAAGCCATTGGAAACTCCTCGTGTACTTTGTTTCTATTTCTTTAGACAATACAAAACTGCTACAAGCAATTTGCAAAAAGCATTATGTGTATTAGATATCCTTATCATTTCGGGCTTGCACTGCCTGGCTAAAGCTGTATTTTCTGGGAGTCATCTTTGTAATCCATGTCATTATTTTTCCTGTTCTTTTTTTTCCATTGGTCTTTTGTTACCCCCATCTCTGCCTTTCTCTCCTCTGAAGGTTGTCTCCTGATACGAGCAATTACGAAGCTGTGTACATGTAAGATCTTTTGGAAATGAAGCCACATAAATTTTTATCAGGACTTGGATATCAAAGGATTGCTACTTAGAATATGTCCTAAATTGGCTGAGAATGCTAATATAAGTACAAATCAATTTCCTTGAGTCTACAATTTTATTCTCTTTGAAGAATCTTTTTTTTTGCTATAAATTTAACATTATAGATTTATGAGTATAAGGAGAAATAAAAAGCATATCTTTGATTTGGCCAAATTTGATTAGGCCAAATTCTGTGTATGATAGCATCATCATTGTATCTTATAAGGAAATTCTGAGTTATCTATATTGGAGTAAGATACAAGAATTTATTTTATTAATCCTTTACTACATTTAACTTCTGAAGTAGGCACACATTTCTCTATCTAAGAATTAATATAGAGGCATTAGATTTGGATCAAACATTCATCTTTTTTAGATGAAGATTTAATTTCCTCCTTGGAATTCTTATTGCAAATGAAAACTATGAAAATGTCAATATCTTGTCTTTGAGAGACTCAGATTCCCTTTTGATTCTACATGTATTTGTAATTGCGCCATAATTATAAGCTTATTATACCAAAATGTGCTCTGGAAGTAAGTGAACTGGAATTACACAAAATAAGAAAAAGTTGAAAGGATTTCTAGGAACTGAAAAGATAAAAGTTGCTTTGGGGTGCCAAACTAAATTCAAACATGGAGTGAATTAAGTCATCAAATAACATTCACTTTAGGCTCTACTAGTGACATTTAAATATTTCTTTTAAGAGAGCAGACAAAAAATTTAAAGAAAAGATGATTGGAAATTAAAGTAACTTTTAAGTCAGCGATTGTAAGTCTAATTAAATTTTGCATTTTAGTCATGTGAAATTTTTTTATCATGTTTAGAAAAGACAAAAAATGTCATGCACTTTCCCCCTGCATTTATCAGTTTTGTATTAAAATAAACATTTGGTTCATGTCCTGGCTAGTCCCTTCCCTATCATCTCCTTTCCTGTGGCCTGGAAAGGCAAGGATGGCCCAGAGCCTCGGAACTCTGTACCCACATGGGAGACCTGGCAGAAGCTTAGGATCAGCTGGGCTCCAACTGTTGTCACCATTTTGGTGAGTGAGCCAGAGTACTGAAGATCTTTCTTTCTGTCTCTCCTCTCCACAAATCTGATCTGCCTTTCTAATAAAAATAAATATAAATCTTAAAAAAAAAATCTAGAGTAAGATCACTTTGTGGGCCCAGTGTAATTACCTAGTGGCTAAGTCCTTTCCTTACATGTGGGTGCTGGAATCCCATATGGGACCAGTTAGTGTCCTGACTGTTCCACTTCCCATCCAGCTCTCTGTGGCCTGGAGAGGCAGTGGAGGATGGCCCAAAGCCTTGGGACCCTGCACTGAAGTGGGAGACCTGGAATAGGCTACTGATCTCTGATTTTGGATCAGCTCAGCTCCAGCCATTGTGGCCACTTGGGGAGTGAACCAGCAGGTGGAAGATCTTTCTCTGTCTCTCTTCTCTGTAAATCTGCCATTGCAATACAAACAACAATAACTAAATAACTAACTAAATAAAAGATTATGTTGTGGTTTGTGCTTTTGTTTTGTGATAATACTATGAATGTAATTCTTTGATTTATGAAAATATTGATTTACTATTGTTTTATTACCTAGAAATCAAAACAAGGCCTGGCATTATGGCAGAATGGGTTGGAACCACCACTTCCAACGCAGGCATCATATATGGGTGCTAGTTTGAGTCCTCCAGGAAAGCAATGGGAGATGGCTGAAATCCTTGGATCTTTGTGGGAGACAGAGCTGGAGTTCCTGGCTCCTGGCTTCAGCCTTATGTAGTCCTGCCCCCTGAGGTCATTCGGGAATTTATCAGTGGTGGAAGATCTTTCTCTGTCAACCACCATCTCTTTCTCTCTGTCCATCTCCCTTCTCTCTTTCTCTGTAACTCTGACTTTCAAATAAATGAATAAATAAATAAATAATTGAAACACAAATTTGAAGGACAAGATTTTGAACAGCACCCTCTTTTCTCCAGTTTCCTTTCCTTGTTTTTAAATAACGAAGAGATTATTAGGGAAATGTCTTGGTGACTCAGGTTGTACTTGGAACATTTTCACATCAGTTGAGGCACAAACAAATTGGTTCAGTAAATTGTCTGACTTTGAGTTTTGAGTCTTCTCCTGGACAAAACTTCTACAGGAGAGAGCAAAAATTATCCATGAAGTTCCAAAGGCAGAACTTACTGGCTTTTTAATGGGTAGTTTGTAGACGTGTAGGGGATTATAATACAAGGGTATTGTTGCATGCAGCCAGTGGTCAAAAAGCTGTTTCATAATATACCCTAACTTATGTAAGGCATGGGATATTAACTTTTTCCCCATATAGAAAATGTACCGAACCTAGTGGAATGGCTCAATTCAAAAGAGCACTTTAAGCTTTTCTTTTCATTTGAGCTGTTAATATTCATGTTTAGGACTAGCTCTCACACACTGGTTGTATTCATTGTAGCTGTGTTTCATGTATTTTACAATTTTAGCCTTGACATTTACATCACTAACTCATTAGCCTTTAGTTATTATGGCTGACTTTTTCGCTCCTGATGTGATACTATTTAAATATGCCCATAGACATTAAGCAAGCCACATACTCTCTCCTGTTCATTTATGATGGTTAAAATCTGGGACAGAAAGGAGATATTGACCAAGCCCATGCGGTGGTGGTAGCAGGGCTAGGAGTGCCCACTGCGAATGCACAAACACTCAGTGTAACTGGAAAGTGCAAATGTTTAGTGGTTCTAGCTAACTGTATTTTCTTTATGTTTTAGATACAGATAAGGAAAATGGAAGCTTTTTGAATATTTTTGACCAGCTATGAGCTATTGATTTTCTAGCAGAGTTTGGTATTTTTCTGATTTAGTTCTTCACAAAATTGTAAAAGCATTGCCTATTTTATTTGATCTCCGAAAAACTGAATGTGAGACCACAAAATAAGTTTCAGAGCTTAAGGTTACTGGATCTTCAGATTCATGCATCTAGGCAGGCACATGGCTATGTCACTGGCTTGGCTACGTGAAAGAATTTTTGTTTTTTTTGGTGACATAGCTGAAATATTTTAAGTCTTGTTTGTTCTTTTATATTCCTGGACTTAACTTCTGGCAGTCAGATGTTTCATAAATTAAAAAAAAAAAATTGTTTGAAGGATTCAGATCTGCTTTTTAAAAATGTGGGTGTTGATGTGTGTGGTATATTTTCATGCGGACTAGTGCCAAGCTCCTATTATTTAGTTGCTCATGTAATTTTGGTGATCTTGGTTACCAAACAAGATTGCTAATTGTTTTGTCAGGGGTACTTAAATCTCTTGGTGTTCTTCTCTCTATCTGGTAAGGACTGAGTCACGTCTTGTGGTCACTGTCGTCTTTCTGTGACCCATCAGCTCAAACAGTGGAATGATTTTAGGCCTCATGATGACAAGGTTGTATTCCATATGAATCAAATGAACCAACTTTCTAACGACAGCATCTATGCTCTACAAATCATCAAAGACAGCTCGTGATGACTTGACCAAATGGACCGTGCTAAGGATTATGGATGCAGCTGATACTTTGTCAGTTACCCCAATCACCTGAAACTGACCTGTGAGTCAGTGCTGTGATGAGCCCAGAGGGAATGCAATGACCGTCATTTTTGAAGATCATTGAATAAACCAGAGGAAGGTCCAGTCCTTTCTTCAAAATCCCATTTCTTTTAGCCAAAATATACAGCTATTCTTAAAATCTTTAGTACGTATTTCACTCCTACTGTCAAAAATAAATGAAGGAACTGCTAGAAGTTGTTATCCTCACACTTTTTTCTAGATTAGAATTTAGAACCGTCCCACCAGCAACTTGCCATGAGGGCTATCATGGCTACTTACCAACTCTGCGTTGTTTGAAGGCAGTTTGTAAGAATAGGAGTAAGGGTAGAGCAGCAGCTGGGAGTAGGAGTGGATTGTCAGATACGCCTTGATGGAAGAGAGATTTTTGCGGATGAAATTGGCCAGGGCCTTGGTCTCTTTTTCAGACTCGGGGGCAGATCCACAGTAAGTTTCATCACAAGCGCTACTGGAGGCTCCCAATTCTGGAAAGACAAGTGATGACCTGTAGCAGTTCTCTCAGGAAACTTGGCAAACTTTCAAGTTAAGGAGTAAGCTGCTTTTCATAGGAGTCCTTGTCATCATTCTCAACGACACCGTGTTTTAAAGTGTGTATACGTTTTAGTCACACTATTAGGATTATATGTTTTGCCTAACATGGTAAGAAGCTGCATGTAAAATCACCCATGAGTCCTTGTATAATATTACACAATGGGATCATTGCAGGCTAAGAAAATTAATACTAAGGGGCAATTTTTCTTTATAAAAATATATTTATTATTTTACTTTGATTATTCTTATCAGAGTTTTATTTAAGTAATTGCTAATATCACAGCTATCTCTAGACAGTCATTAGACTAGATTTTCTGGATTGTACATCCTGTGAATTATAGGGTTACATCTTGTTCATTCAGTTTATTTCCATCATGTGGCACTGCTGAGTGTTCAATATATTTTGACTGCATGTGTTAGCAAACTGTCGTGTGCCTTTAGAAAGTTAGAACTCTAAAACTATGGACATTTGTTGTTTGTAGATCCTATTGCTTTTAATGTATTTTCCCTCACATTTTTCAGCTAACATTGACAAAATATTTGTTCTGATACTTACGGCACCAACCGGCATTAAAGTTTCGATTGGGATCCACCCCAACACAGGATGTCCCCGATTTAGTAGAGCGAGTTTTTCTCCACATCCGGTTCTGAAAGTGGATTATGGAGTTAGGACATATCTAATAGAAAGTGGTTGATTTGAATCTCATTAGGCCTGCTCAGAAATATTGCTCCATTTACCTTGGTCCAGGTGTAAATGTAGCCATCGATATTGACCACAGGGACAACATAAAAGTCTAACCCGTCAAGAAGTTTTGTCGTGACCGTATCTTTTCCATAGTTGTTAACAGCCTGTACGTAAATTACAAAACAGAATTTCATGGAAGACGGAATTTACAACATTGAAAAACTTAGCAGAGGTGGATGTTGACTTGTATAATGAGACCAGTGTCCCCTGTTGAGGTAGGCAACTTCACTATTTAAAAACTAGAGCTTTGGTTAAGAGGAATTTCCAGCCTGCGAGAAGAGTGAGGATGCCCCTGACGTTACATGAACTCACACCAGTGGATTTGGGATTTGCTGTAGCCAACTCTTCAAGCAGTCCAATGGTGGGAATCTCTGTCTGCATCCCCTTTCTTAAGAAGGAACTCTACGGGACCAATTCCTTCTGCTAAGCAATGTGGTCACTTATCTATCAATCACCTCATTAGCTCTACTTTCTTAGTTAGAGTTTTTCTGTTCTGGAACCATGTTGAATAACAATCAAGCCTTTTATGAGCTGGTTGGAATAATCTTTACAATGTGTAGGTCTTCTACGTGTGAAGAGTTCTTCTGTTTTCTTTGTGACTCTGCACTCACACATGTGTGTATCTGTTACAGTTGCACACAATGGAGCCTGTGCTTGTCCTGCTGGGGAGCTATAGCACCATCTATATACTTCAACTTTTTCATACATTTATTTATGTTTAGTGGCAGAGGGACACAGAGAGAAATCTCTCATCACTGCTTCACTTTTCAAATGTGAGCAACAGCCAGAGTTGGGCTAGCTGGAAGCCAGGAGCAAGCATTGAGCTCTTACACACAGGTGGCAGTGACCCAAGTATGTCTTGTTTTGTATTGGTGATGTTGACCCTGAATATTTGGTTAAGGGAATTTCTGCCAGGTGTCTCTACTGTTCAGTCTTTCCTTTATAGTTACTATACTTTGATGGGACTGACTTTCTGACTATGCAAATATCTTGTTTCTCTTTAAACTTTCACTTGCTCATTTTGCAGTCATCTCTGGATTTACCTGAAATGCTAATTACTGAGAAATTCTATTGGTGATTTTATATCTCACTCATTCTTTGTACATGTATTAGCTGTAATTATTTTATAAGAGAAAAGTGATTGTATTATCTGTTTAGATCAGTGTGAACTCATGGATATTTTAAAATTTCATTTTTAAAGGGATTTACACCTGCTATATCATTGGAATTAATACAGAATGAAAAATCCTATCATTTGCAGTAGAGACCATGACGTACTTCTTCTTTTACTCTGGAATATATTATCATGGTCCAGTTGATGATTTATTCACAGCTGTTTACCTTTTTTTAATTTTAAAATTTGAGACAGAGATACACACAAACACACATGGGAATAGATGGACAAGCTAGTGTCTTCTGCTCATTGGCTTAGTCTCAAATATGTGCAATGGCTCAAGACTGGGCCAGGACACAGAAGGTCATCAAGAACTCAAGGTAGTTCTCCCATGTGATTGTCAGGGACTCAGTTCCTTGAACAGCAGTTGCATCAGCATGAAGATGTAATTGGGAGCAAGATATAGGAACCGGATCCCGACACTCCAGTGTGGGGTGCGGGTGTCTTGAGGAATGCCTCAGCTACTAGACCAGCAAGCATTAGGATGGCTAACTCACTATAGTCACTGTCCGTTTCTCCTCTAAAATGTGGGTGACAAAGCTATTCAATAGGCGAGATTCAAATAAAGGAAGTTTCCTTTTAAAAATCTTGTTTGTTTATAAACAAACAAATGGGAACTTGGAATTGTGTACATGTTTTTTTTTTTCTGTGTTATTTTCCTTTGTTTTCGCCAGATTATCAGAAATGAAAGGAAATTAAAACCGCTTTCTACTTCTCTTTGCCAACGACCGCTTGTACATACTGACCTCCTTCACAAACCACTGGCAAAATGCAGGAGAAATCCATTCTCTGGCATGAAAGCCGCAGTCGAGGAAAATAGCAGGCTTGTTTGATTTGCTTTTGCCAACCTATTGCAAACAAAAGGAAAAGGGAAACTGATTTATCATGTAGCACTCAGGGGTTAACACTCACTACCTTCTGGGTGTTGTACTCAACAGGCGAAACTTGACACCAGCAAGAGATACAGCCCATGATTAAATTAAAATCCTACACCAGCACAGCGTGTTCTTGCCTCTAGACACAAAGTTGGAGCTCAGGGCTTACATGGCTGTTTATTATTTTTATTAAGCCTGACAAGCTCATATTTTCAAAAGATGCTTGATTACCCAGCTTAATTGTACTCACGTGGAGGTTATTTCCAGCTGCTATTATTGGGTGACATGACCAAGACAACTGGATGAGTAATTAGAAGTAATCATGATTGTTGCTAATCCTGTAAGAGTTTTTCCTTCTCTCTGCTTATTCGTCTTTTTATTTCCTTCATTAGAATTACGTGACAAAAATGGTGTTAGATGACAGAAACAAATTGTTGATACGTGGTGTAATGTTGTCTGATAGACGTGAAGTTTATGAACCTCTTTAGCAAATGGATTTGCAAACAACAGCTGGGAGAGAAGAATTTCATCAAGGTAGATGATCATTTACATTGCTTACAGGAATGTGGTGAAATTTATAGGACTGCTCTTATTTTATTGCATTCTTTTCTTTTGAATAAATCAAAATAATGATTTAAAAATCCACGTATGATGGGAGAAGCTGGAGACTCAGTTTGAGTCCCTGGGGGAGATGGGCTGGGAAAGAGTTATAACGGTGCTTGGGATTAGCATGCCTGTGAAACAGATGTTAATGTGTTCAAGTCCGTTGATTTAAAGCCCTCAGACGTGGCAAGGTCATGGTTAAAAAAACAATTACCTTGAGGACGTAAATAGAGCGCCCTTCAAATGTGGTTCCGAGGACACTGCGAGTGACGAGGTTTGGATTCTGAGCGGCCACTTCTTTGGTCCAAGCCTCTATCTACCAAGCAGAAACGTTCTTGGATTAATGGGATAATCGTGGTCCAATTTTCAAAGCAACATCTTTCTAAATGTGTGTGTCATACCGTGTCCCAGTTGTTGTACTTCACGTAGCTGTGTCCAGTAGCTCGGACCTGGCTGTCGAATTGCTCCTCCAACACATGCTTCAGGTTATCTATCAGTACCCTGCGAGGAATCAAAGTGGGGGCTGCTATAAACAAGAGAGCAGTTTTCCAGTGAACACACAGGTGACCCCCAAACCAGGGCTTCAGTAGCTGGTAGAGGGCATTCTCCAAGGATTCCCATGCTGACCTCGGAGCGTGCCTGATGACCTTCAACCTGAGCTGCTCAGGGCAGAGAGTTAGTCACTAAATGCATGATTCAAAGTTTCTGAAGAACTTTAAAATAATTTTCTGAGGCATGCTTGAAGGTGAGAATGTGCAAGACTTGATTTTCCACTGTTACTGTGAGATGGGAGTGTGTGTGGAAGGGACGGACAATTTGGGCACCCACAGCCTCGAAGACAACAATGAACAGTACAGACTAGCTTGCAGAAACTTGTACTACATAGAGCCAAGCCTTGAAAAGGTTTTATCGGACACACAGGGAACAGCAGCCAAACATCAAAAGTCTGCTTTTCATCCAGCTGCCCCAAGGCCACTCTGATGTCATCTGCCAGGGACATCCTGTGATTCCCCCTTCTGGTCACGCCTTCTTTTGGTGGACTTGAGTATGAACTTGTGTCCATTTATGGAAAATGGGATAAATTGCTAAAAAGTGATATCTGCCTCTCACTAAATGCAAACACTGTCTTAATCGCTTAACTGTTTTAAGAGAGTATTTTTAAAAGGGAGCCGATTTGAATGTTTATTTTGTTAGAAAGAAAAGTTTCTTTGGGGCAGTCATCAGTACTTTGTAAGCTTTCTGTGGATGTTGCAAAAGGCCACAAACTCAGTGGTTTAGTACAGCGTGAATCATTTTACAATTCTCTAGACGAGAAGACCAAGGCAGGTCTCCCTGGGCTGGGAGCAGGGAATCTGGGGCCTTTCTGCAGGCTCCAGGTAGAGTGCTTCCTTGACCTCACTGGCTCCTTATGGCTGCCTGCTGTCCTCAGTTGCAGCCTTTCCCCTCCAGCTTCCAAGCTAGCAGGAGCACACGCCTTCCCTCTCCGAGCCAGTCAGTCCGACTGTTCTCTGCTTCCTTCTGCACTGATGATTTTTCTTTAAAACAGTAAAAAAAAAAAAAAAAAAAAAGGTTTATTTACTTACTGGAAAGGAAGAGAGAGAGAGAGAGAGAGAGAGAGAGACCGAGACCCTCCATTTGCTGGCAAATGGGTAAGATAGCCAGGATGGGCCTAGCTGAAGCCAGGAGCCAAGAGGCAGTAGCTTCTTCCAGGTCTCCCGTGTGAGTAGCAGAGACCCAGGCATGTGGCCATCTTCCACTGTTCTTGACACATTAATAGGATCCTGAATTGGAAGTGGAGCAACCGGCACTCCCATATAGGATGCTCACCTCACAAGCAGTGGCTTAGCCTCTTGCACCACAGCGCTGTTCGCTCTTCACTTTTAAAGACTTTGGTGTTTCTCTTGTACCTATCTGAATAACCTAGAATCATCTCCCTACTTTAAACCAGGTGATCAGGGAATTTAATTCCACCTATAATCACAAGGCCTGTTTGCAATGTAACATTCAGTTTAGGATGTAGATATTTTCAGGAGACTCTTGTTTGGCCTGCTCAGTGGTTAGAGTAGGTCCTGTATTTAACACATGAAATAGGTTGTTATAAGATAGGTCAGAAGCAAAAAGAATTATGAACTAGGAACTAAAAGGTCAAAAAATAGTTTTATGTGATTCATAAATTGATGTAAAAAAGTCATTTATCCCTCTTCCTTAATTTCATAAATGGAATAGGGCCATTTGCTTAGTAGAGAATCAACGTCTTCATTTCTCAAATGCAGTGACTTGACTTAAACTCGGTGGCCTTAATAATTCATACAATTGTTTTCTAAGGTTTTTATGAAAAAATAAAAAATTTGCCAGTGAACACCTTCATAAAGGACAGAGAACATGCAGGAACTAAAGCCAGAATAAAGATAAGGAAAATCACGTTCAAGGATAACAAAAAAATAGAAATAGGCCAAAAAGTACAGCAAAGCAAGTGAAACGAAAACCTGGACCTGTGAAAAAAATACTCAACACACATTGAAAAAAAGCAACATTTCCACATTAATCCAAAAAAACAAAAACAAAAGCATTCTACCTTACTCTCTGAACGACAGGACAAAAAATAGAACCAACCCACCAATCAACCAACCAAACCAACAACATCATAAGAGGTAATAGTTAATGACATCTGCCCTCAAGTTCAAGCTGTTTAGGAGAATCAGCGATGATATGAAGGGTAGTGTTTTGTTTGATATTGAGAGAATCTGTTAGAGTTGCTGCTGTGTTAAATATTAAAAGATTTTTCATCAATAGCCAGGACAAAGAACCATAAAGCACAGTTAGTTAAATTTAAGATGATACCCAAGAGTAAGTTTCTTCGGTAACTTACAAAAGAGCGCCATTATGATGTTGAATTGTGGTGCTGACTTTTGCTTGAAGGCAAGAAATTGACCTCAGATGATCCTGTCTAGCCTTATGATTATTTTATTTTATTAGATTTAGGACAAAGTGCTATTTCTGCTGTATTATAGAATATTATTACTAAATAATGAGCTTCTCTCCTAGAAGATTAAAACAATGCCTCTTTATGTAATAGGGATTGCATTATGGCTCCAAAGTGCAGAGGCATGTGTATTATTTCATACTTCCAATCGCTGCCTTTATGGTGCCATCCAACTTCTTCCCTTTTCCTTTTTTAAACATGCAAGCAAATTAGATAACCAAGACTCCCCACAAAGCTGGAATAGGCTGTCTGAGAGGGGAGGGGAGACTTGATTTACTTCCAATTCCTGGATAATATGGCCCTGTGCTATTGAAAGACACTTCTAAGAGCCATGGCTACTGGAGGGCATGGGCCAGCGTAACAGAGAACAATGTTGTTGACATACATAGAAGAATGATGGTGTTGATGGCTGGCAGCACTCAGTCTCTCTCCGGGAAAACACGAAGACAATCTTTCTGCCATTTGTAGGAAAGCATTCTTATGGCTGCCCAGTCAACTTAGGCTCAGAATTCAAAGCTGGAGATCACACCAGCAGATTTCTACTACTTCTGCAACTAAGGGTGCAACTTAGACCTTCAAAACTAGTTACCTTCCCTTTTGCAAACACTTTAAATTTCTTCCATACTTCAGGATCTGATTTAAAAGCTGACAGTAAATGACACTTGTCTTGCTGAGGAAGTAGGAACCGAGGGAAGATCCTAAACGTTATTTTGGTGGACACAGTACAGCGAGTGGTTCAGGCTATAGCAAACACAACTGCAAGTCCTTGACAGCAGGGAACTGTCCAAATACGAATTTGCTACCATCTGAAGTAATAATGGGATGCACAGGGACTGTTCACAGCCCAAGCAAGGATATTGCTTGTGCGTTTCTTCAAGATTTCCAGGGACTTATTATTATTTAATATTTAGAAAGTTATAGGGTATAAATGAGCTCAGCAGTGAACAGAAAAGCAAAAATTAACAAGATCTTAGTCCTCACGGAAGATCCTACGTTCTGGATGAGGCAATGTTCATCCAAGACTTTGTGAAAGTTTACCACTGGAAAAAAGGGTGAATTTCCTGCTAGCTCTGTGAGTGATTGGCAGGTGACAGAAAAGCCTTTCACTGTTTTGTGATTTGAGTCCAATGAAGACATCATCCAGGTGGCTAGGGTTGGTTTCTGATCTCTTTTTAAAAAAGAATAATAAGGAAGCCATCTTGTAAATGCTACCGAAGGCTCCTAAAGGCTCAGATGTTAGAAGTTCTTCCCAGTGTAAGAAGAGCAAAATGTCATAGGCATGCATCTTGATCACTTTCTGAAATTGACTAGGTTATCTTTCTGTTTTAAAGACAGCCAGTGCTTAAGGTCATGTTTTGATATTTATCCCAGGCAAAAGCAGACAGTTAAGCTACGTGAGGCATGAGAATGGCTAAACGGATATGGAAGTCAGTGTTCAGACAATTGAAAATTGAGAAGCCATATGACCCAGCTATCCTGCTCCTGGAAATATTTCCAAATAAAGTGAAGTCTGCATATGAGAAAGTGACCTGCCATCCTACTTTCATGGCAGCACAATCCACAATAGTGAAGACATGGAAACAACCCAGAGACCCATTGAAAGAGGAATGGATAAAGAAACCGTGGTACATTTACTTCACGGAATACTACACAGCCATAAAAGAATGAACCAAGTGGTCTCAACTGGAGACCATTACACTTGGAGAAATAACCAGTCTCTAAAGCACAAATATCGTATGTTCTCTGATACAAGACAACCTTCATACAAAATACAAAAGAAATAGATGAGTTATATAAACGAGACAAGCATGCCAAGAAGTGAAGATACATGGCAGTATGCATCTCTACTTCCAAATAAAAGAAAGACTCCCAGTGAAACTGTTAAATATACCTTGACAATATGATACTAGATTTTCTACTTTTGTGTATTCCTACAATGCCATGATACACAAAAATAGCAGAATGTTGGACTTGTAACGGTTGCTGAAGGACCATACTATTGCAATAATACAGAGGAAAACAGTATATAAGTGGGCGGGGGGCATGAGGAGGGAAGAAAGGGAAGAGGAGGAGAATTTCCCATACCTATCAAGCTGTATCAAGGTAAGTAATAAAACAATTTAAGAACTAAAAAACCCACCCAAATAGTTTCTGTTTCTGCGATTGTCAACCATAGCAACATTGTCAGCAGTAAGAGTGTCAGCTGCAATTTATTTTCACATTTTTAAATTTCAGTATCACTACAACTCTTTGAAACCTTAGCTTGGAAGGATGACGACCATTATTACTGCATGTGACAGTCAGGAGGATTCGGAGCCAGGGTTGGGATTCAGTCTTAATTTTCCTTCCAACGCATTTAGAAGTTGCATAATGCTACACTACTTCTCTTGATGGAAATTAAGACATTACAGGTGACAATTCTTACAGTTATCTTCAAGGAGCACTGATTTGTGTCCTGGCTGGTTCACTTCCCACCCAGCTCCCTGCATATCACCTGGGAAAGCAGCAAAGGATGGCTCAAAACTATGGACTCCTGCATGGGAGGCCTGGAAGAAGCTCCTGGCTTGGATTGGCTTGGGTCTGCAAATCTGCTCTGCCTTACCACTAAAAATAAATAACTCTTTGAAAAATTTTCTAGGTCATATTTTCTGAACACATATTGAAGATTTTGGATAAATATTTGAATATTCAGAACTGGAACCCAAATGTGCTCTTTAGTGCTCCCTGTCTACTGCTCAAGGAGGACCTGCACTTTACACTGAGGGCTTCAGGCATTTCTATCCCCCAGTGCCTGTGCCTCCAGGTCAGCATGGTCTCTCACACTTCTAAGCTTTGTTCTTTGACCAGAGTAGGCTTTCTCACCCCGGCTGACTCCTCCCTGCCTGGAGTTCTCAGCTGAAGCTTCATTTCCTAGCACAGAACTCTCTGCTACGTTTGGTCTATTCTCCCAAATTCTTAATCCCCAATCTATTGTCTCCTTAAGAAGATGGACCATTTTTAGCCCTTTCAGTGTTTAATCCATGTGGGCATCCATGATCTATTTGTTGGATTAACAAATGAACTACTGCCTGTACTGATCATCTTGAAAGGACTAGCTAGACGAGCAGAGTACTTGGGGAGAGTTTATGTGGGATCACCTGCTTAAACAGCTTGACTCCAGGTTTTGGCAGATCATGCTTTTTCTGACTTCTTCTCTCTGTTTCCTATCACTAGAGATAGTGATGGGACCTGGCTATGAAAAAAAAACAAAACAGAAACCCAAAACCCAATCAGTGGGGTAAATCGGGCCAACTTAAGTTATGCTCTTCATGGGCTTGTTGATCACCTACGAAGCAGAGCTGGTACGATCTTGACCAGACACTGCGTCCAAGTATCTTTCCATTGTTTTGGCTCATTCTCTATCTATCATACAAGACAGAAGCAGGGTAGATATCTGGCTGAAAATTGGGGTTCAAAACTGAACTCCATCTTTACGTTAGGAATAATGAAGCCCAAACATCGTCAGGATTGAAGTCTTCATGTTTGGAGCTGAGGCCTTACTGTGCCACTGTCTGTGAAACCCTACTGGGGTCATGATCGTGGTCTATTTTTTTTTTTGCTTCCTAAAGTTATTCAAAGTCTCTGAGGTTAAGAATGGCATAGCCGCATGGGAGAGAATTTCAACAGCTGTAAAACATGAGCTTACTCGTATTGAAGTTCATTCTGATTCAGAAAGTTCTCGACAGAGTCAATATCTTCTGCTTTAACACGGAAGTCAACAGCACTGTGAGGGCTGATTTGTGAGGCAGAATCTGGTTTCCAGAAGTCAATCTGTATAAAAATTAAAATACATCACATGGGACTCTGGTAACTGTGTGGGTGAATTATCATCTGAAAGCACATGAATGCTCTACTCCTTTTGTTTTCTAAATCAAGTTATCCAAGCGATTTCTTTAAAATACCTCCTTTGAGTGAACAAGGGTTAGGACCAAACAGATATTCATGGAAATGCTTATACATATGACATTGATTGGTTACCAGCAAGAAAATATATGAAGAATATATCATCTTTCCTCATGTTTTTAGTTAACTATATGGTAATCCACAACTGCTTTGGTATATGTATTGGTTTTTCTGGAGGACTTGTAGAGTTTGTGGTAGTGCAACAATGTTCTGGGTAAATGCTGTTGAACTAACTAAAGACACAAAATGGAACAGTGGGAAATTCTGTTTTCCCTTTTTGTTTTAACTACTGTGTTTTATTAATTTTTTCTTGCAACTTAATCTGTGCAAGTTGCAGTCCTGAAATGTGGTCAGTAAGGAAGAAAAAAGATATTTTCCAAAATACAGATTCTTGCCCTGTGCCTGGAAACCAAATACTCTTGGGAGTCTAACCATGAACTGCCATGTTCATGCATTCATTCAGTGTGTTTGAGGACCTGTTTCATACTAGCTGGGCTCTGAGCCTGTGCCGAAGATCTGCTAGTGGGAAATCAAAACCTGGCTACTGTCCTTAGGGGGTACTTAGGGGGCTTTGGATAAAGTTAAACGCAGCATAACAGGATGCCATATTTGGTGATTCTATCAGTTTTGTTTGTGGATATGTGGTCTTTAAAATCCTCTTTTCGGGCCTGGTGGCGTGGCCTAGTGGCTAAAGTCCTCTCGCCTTGAATGCGCTGGGATCCCATATGGGTGCTGGTTCTAATCCCGGCAACTCCACTTCCCATCCAGCTCCCTACTTGTGGCCTGGGAAAGCAGTTGAGGATGGCCCAAAGCTTTGGGACCCTGCATCTGTGTGGGAGACCCGGAAGAAGTTCCTGGCTCCTGGCTCTGGATCGGCATAGCATCGGCCGTTGCGCTCACTTGGGGAGTGAATCATCAGATGGAAGATCTTCCTTTCTGTCTCTTCTCCTCTCTGTATATCTGACTTTGTAATAAAAATAAAAAAATCTTTTTAAAAATCCTCTTTTCATAAATTCCAGCCAGAGTATGCTGATCCTGTAGGGATATCTGTTTTCCTGGGCCTTCTGTTGAGTAGGGTCTAGGAGGCTGAGATGAGCCCAACATTGGGTCTTTTCCTTTTTAAAAAGATTTATTGATTTTTATTGAAAAGACTACAGAGAGGAGGAGAGACAGAGAGGAAGATCTTCTGCCCATTGATTCACTCCCCAAGTGACCACAATGGCAGGAGTTGTGCCCATCTGAAACCAGGAGTCTCTTCCGCGTATCCCACATGGGTGCAGGGTCCCAAGGCTTTGGGCCATCCTCCACCACTTTCCCAGGCCACAATCAGGGAGTTGGATGGGAAGTGGGGCTGCCAGGATTAGAACTGGTTCCCATATGAGATTCTGGCATGTGCAAGGCAAGGATGTTAGCCACTAGGCTATTTTGCTGGGCCCATCCAACATTGGTTCTTTGACTAGCTGGGAGCTAACTTCAGGTAGTGGTGATGATGTTTGTGATCATGGATTGGAAATTTGGAAAAGAGTTAGGACAGAATTAGAAAACTGTACAGCAAAAGCTGATGAAGTAAAATTTTAAGAAAACTCAGTTTCAGATGCCCAAATCCAGAATCCTATTTCCAGTCTTGATAATCTTCCAATTGTTGAGGCTGTCCAGTGGGTGCTGGGCTGTGAGACAAGGCCATAGGGAATGTGTGCGGTGAGACAAGACAAGTACAACCCTGATTACAAGGAGAAAGGTCACCAAGGTACAGGCAGAGAAAGTCAAAAGAAACAAAGGGAACCATATCAAACGAAGAAACCCCACACAGCAAAGGAGGCAATCAACAAAGTGAAGACACAGCCAACAGAATGGCAGAAAACCTTTGCATACTACACAACTGATAGGGGACTAATACCTAGGATTTACGAAGAGCTTCAAAAACTCAATAACAGCAAAGCAAACAACCCTGTTAAGAAATGGTTGAAGAAAACGAGCAGGTGTTTTCCAAATTCAGATGGCTAATAGGCATATGAAAACATGCTCAGATTTTCTCTATATTAAGGAAATGCAAACAAAAGCTGACATTGATCTTAACTCCAATGAGAATGGCCTACGTAAAGAAGTCAACCAACAGCAACTGCTCGCAAGGACGTGGGGAGAAAGGTTCTCTACTCTGTAGTTGGTGGGAGTGCAGACTAGTGCAACCACTATGGAAGTCAGTAGGGAGAGTGTTCAGACAATTGAAAATTGGGATATCATATGACCCAGCTATCCTGCTCCTGGAAATATTTCCAAATAAATGAAATCTGCATATGAGAACGTGACTGCCATCCTACTTTCATGGCAGCACAATTCACAATAGTGAAGACATGGAAACAACCCAGAGACCTATTGAAAGAGGAATGGATAAAGAAACCGTGGTACATCTACTTCACGGAATACTACACAGCCATAAAAGAATGAACCAAGTGGTCTCAACTGGAGACCATTACACTTGGAGAAATAACCAGTCTCTAAAGGACAAATATCGTATGTTCTCTGATACAAGACAACCTTCATACAAAATACAAAAGAAATAGATGAGTTATATAAACGAGACAAGCATGCCAAGAAGTGAAGATACATGGCAGTGTGCATCTCTACTCCTGAATAAAAGGAGGGCTCTCAATGAGTCAGTTAAATATACCTAGATAGTATAATTTTGGATTTTCTCCTTTGCCTACAACCACATTGTCATGATACACATAAATAGCAGAATGTTGGACTTGTAACTATTTCTAAAAGATACTACTACTATGATAATATGGGGCAAAATGATGGGAGGGGAAGATAGCAAGAGAGGAAGATAGGGGTGACAGAGGAACCCCTATATCAACCCAATTGCATCATAGAAAATAATAATAACAATGAAAAAAATCCCTGCTGTCCAAATGTAGATGACAAAGGAGAGGCTGGTAGAATACAACGTGGTCGCAGGTCTCATCAGTACATTTAGCTCTCAAAAGGACATGTTCAAAAGCTAGGAGGAAGGACACATGGCCAAGGATGAATACAAAGACGGGATGGCCTTGCACTGATCTTATCAGGAAGGCTATGGCCTAGATCATGCTGCAACCTCACAACTGCTAAGGAGAATGAAACTCTTCAATTCTGTTGGAAAGAGAAAAGAATAAAGCCACAGGAAGACAGAGAGGTCGCTCTTGTTTGTCTGCTGCCTTTCCCAAGAAGGAATTGCGCTGTCTCTTGCTTCTTCTTGTGCTGAGAGGTGAATTTATCAGCAAGATAAGCAAAGAATGTTTCACGTGTTATAATTTAAACAAAACACCTTCTCTGGAAAGAAAATACTGAGGTCCAAGGCATGAAGAGGATTCTAGTCCATGTAAATAGGATTTAAAAATCCCAGAACTAATGGCGCTAATAGTAACAAAAGCTTACTTAGCTTTGTTATTATTTATAAATACTTGACTTACATTAACCCTTTTAAAATATGCCAACCATCCTACAAGGTGTCCCTGTTTCATTTGCCAGAAGATAAGGCCAGGAATTGAACTCAGAGAGCATCAGTCTAGATTCCTCTCCGATGATCATAAAGTGCTGAATTCTAGGGAACTTTTAAAAATGCCACAGATGTGGTAGCGGAACTGTCTTAGCAATCTTGGAAGAATCAAAGCCTGAAGAGCTCACTCTGGAATGGAGGGGGCAAGTCTTGGATCCTGTAAGTGGTAGAACAGGTGAAGCCCAGGAGCTGGAGCTCTGGGGCCCTGGCGTGGAGTGAGCAAAGCTGCAGAGTAAACTCGAAGCAGATGGGTTGTGAATGCTCAGAAAACGAAGCTGTGATCTCTGGGAGCCAGCACGGTTCAGAGCAAGAGTAAGTCAGGCTCAATTAGTGTCACCGTATTGGAAGAGACTGCTAACTTCGGAGAATGCTGAGTCTTGATCCCAGCAAAGCATCTGATGAAGTGTCTGCACTGGCATCCTTTTGAATAAGCCAGAAAGTGGCCCAGTGTCAACTCTGTGGGATTAGCCCTCTACCTTAGAGTTGTTGAAAACCATGTGGCTGAGGCGCACAGGTTAATGAATCTCTTTCAGAGCTTAGCATTGGTTCTGGGCGTTTGAAGATTCACGATGACTAAATACTGAATGAATGAACCATGAAGCAGAATTCGGGTTTGTGCTGACCCCTGAGTCACTTCAAATGTTTCCTTATCTGTGACAAAGGTAGCTGTTTGGCAGTGATGCCTACCAGATTTGCTGATGTTCTAAAGTTATAGGAAATAATTACTTTTCTAGATAGCTGAATAAGATCTCAACATGCTGAAAAAGCCTAGTAAGATACATTTTAACAGCAGACACTTAAAATGTATTAGCTTGAAACATGAATTGGGCAAGCATATGGGAATGATCACTTGTTTGAGGGAGGTTCTTGTCAAGAAGTAAAACCTGATGGAATACAGATTTCATGTTAGCTATAAGTGTCCTATGATTTCTAAAGATGCTAAGAACAATCTTAGATCTTTGTTAATAAGTGTCTGCTTTACAGATGAAGGCAAGCGATGGCTCTGTAGAATGTATTAATCAGAGAACACTAGACTTGACCATCAATTCCAGTAACTATGCACTGAGAGCAGAACCAGAAATGGAAAGATCAGGCTGTATCTAGAAATGACTAGAATGATCAAGAGTCTGAAATCAGAGTTAAGGAACATCAGGGAGGCCAGAGGATGAACACAGTCCTTGGTTTAGGTAGGTTAGGGAGGGCAATGTTCAAAATACTCAGGGCGAGAAAGAAAACTCGAAGGCAATGGCCTGTCCTGAGAAGTAGCATATCTATTACTTCTGGGAATACCCCAGCAGGCTTTGTCAGGATCAGCAACTGAGGATGCTGCTTCGAGGGAGGAATATGAAATTCCCAGAATGGGTTGGAAGGTTGGAATAGACTGCTGCAAGGCTAACCTTCTGACCCTGAAATTACGATGCTTCCTACGATCTTCCTTCCTTTTTCTTTTCCCCACACCTTAGACATGAGAAATTACGTATATATGAGCTAAAAGTATTTTAATTTCTAGGTTCCTGAAGTAACAGCATTAGCCCAAGTGAAGCCATTTGTGGTCAATAATATTTTGCTGCCACACATTACATATATAATTAGAAATGCCAGTTCTCATTCCACATTTAGTGATTTTTTTTTTTTCTTAAGGAACACAGAGATTTCAGAGTCTTAAAAACAAACTTACCTTGTATCCCTTTTTCTTATCCCCCTCCCCCACTATGGTATCATTAATGGAACTCAAAATCAAGGTCATGAAAACTCAAGCTGTTTGATTTGGAATGAAAGAAAATCAAAGAGAACAGATGATACATGGGATGTGAAAATGAGTTTGAAGTTGGACAAAAGCCCAGTTTCTCAGGAATATCCATGTTGATCATTTTTATCTTTTGCTTTGGTAGGCAAGTGAGTGCCTCTACATTCTTTGTAACAGTTACAACTCATCCAGTTGTTACGCTCTGCCAATTCTTTTAAAAGTCAGCACAGATTTATAATGCTATAGGGTTTATGGCAATTTAATGGAGGCAGAAAAAGAAAATATGGTGCTTCTAAATGGTTCTCAAGTTCTTATTTCCTATTGCCCAAAGTGTTATCAGTAGAGTTTATCTTTCATGTCTTTCTTACCTTGATGGAATCACAATACAAAAATTTTAAAATAAGCATTCCTTACCTGGTTGACGCTGGCCAACTCTTGGATTAAGTTGATGTGAGTTTCATCTTCAACATTGACACGTAACACCTTCTCACTGAAAAGTGAAATAGCAGAACAACAGAAAATTTAAAATTGGCAAAGTGTGCACGCTTGGGAGGAATGACCTGTTTTTTTTTTTTTTTCAGGAAAAGCTGACTTACCCTTCAAAATGCTCATGAGAATGGTGAGCAGAGGCCAGGGCCACGGCCGCCAGAACCAGGATGGCCAACATGGTGTCTGACCAGTTGTGCTGGCTTGGTCTCACCTGCTTTTATAATCCCAACTGTTCTTTGTTCACTTTTCCGACTGCAAATAGGCACTATCACACCTTGATAGAGATTTCGTGCTTTTCCTGGCATTGTTGCCTTAGTAGCTATGTAAAGTCTGAGACAATATCGTTCTCAACACCTGTGGAAATACCAAATAATCTCAAGTTCAACCTATTTGTTTTGGATATCAGACCTTGGCTAGTCTATGGGTAAATAACCTTTAAATGAAACCTGTTTATAGTCTTTTTATTTCCAGTTCAACTGAGAATTCTATGCAATTGTTTATGCAGATTTCAATGTAAAGTTTGAAAAATCTTAACAAATCTCTGTCTTCATATCATAAACATTCCATTACAAGAAAGAACGTGTCTTACCATAGGAAATCTTCTTGAGAAGCTTATGGATCTATTTCTGTACCCTCTTCAGGCAACTTCCGTTTTAATTTCTAAATTTATACACTATTATTGCTTGCACACATTTCATTTATATGGGGTCTATAGATTCCCTTACTGTAGTCCATTTAAATGTACTATAGATTCCTTTGTGTCTGGGTTCTTTCATTTAAGGTAATGTTTTTTGAGATTTGTCAGCATTTTTGTTGGCAATATTACTTTGTGCCTTTTTTATTCACAAGCCATACTTTGTTTTATTAATCCGCTATAATTTGTTTAGCCATTTTCCTGCTAATAGATGTTTATATTGTTTCCAATTTTGTGTTATTATGGATAAGGCTGCTTTGAACATTTTTGAACTTTTTTTTTTTTTTTGGTTTACATATATTATCATTTGAATGGAGGTAAGTATCTGCCGGGAGCTTGACATCGTGAGACCCAGCCCAAGATTTTATCATTGTCCTTGTATTATTTTAAGTCTCCTTTGATCTGGACTTGCACCTCAACTTTTAATTAGCTTTCATCATAAATTTTAAAACATTTAAATTCATTGTGGTGTAGAATGTTCTTCAATTTAGTTCATCTTCCTATTTCCTCACAGTTCCATTAAAATGCTTTTAAGAAAACAGAGCCCAATTACATAACCTTCTGAATATAAAGGGTATGCATAGTCTACAAAGCTTCAACAACACAACTGATTAGTAAGATGAACTTTTAGGAAGTTCTTCAACTTTGACCTTGCCTAGACTAGCTCTTTTGTGTGTGTTGTCAATTATTCTCAACTCTGAATCTCTAAGAATGCTTTGTTTTTATTGCTGAAGGTTTTTTTTTTTGTATTCTAGTCTAGCTTAATATTTGTGAATCTTTCTCCTTTTGCTAGGATTGCTAGCTCTTTATGCTATCAAACTGTGCCATATTAATTTTTATTTGTCTTATAGCTGGCATATAGGGTAGAAGGACAAAGACATAATGACAACCTGTCATTTTCACATGAATGCCCAGGTGGGGTTTTTTTTTGTTTATTTGTTTGTTTTTTGGCATTGCTCAATAACTACCTTATGGTGAGATTAGTATTAAGATAATATTTTCTTGCGGAGGTTAAATTTTATTCTTCCCTTGGTTTAATGACAAAAAGACCCCCTACAATTCCCTTTTATGTCTATAATTCATGTAAAAAGGCTATAAACTCATCTAAAATCATAACATTTCCTTCCCTCCCCATGGTGTTGTTACAATCATCAGTTTCTTCTGAGGGAACTCTTGCTTCTCATATCCTGCTTAGATTAAGAATGAATGCTTGGGCCCAGCACGGTAGCCTAATAGCTAAAGTCCTTGCCTCGCATGTAGTGGGATCCCTTATGGCCACTGCTTTGTGTCCCGGCTGCCCCATTTCCTGCCCAGTTCCTTGCTTGTGGCCTGGGAAAGCAGTTGAGGATGGCCCAAAGCCTTGGGACCCTGCACCTGCATGAGGGACCTGGAAGAAGCTCCTGGCTCCTGGCTTTGGATCAGCTCAGCTCAGCTCTGGCTGTTGCTGCTACTTGGGGGATGAGTCAGCAGATGGAAGATCTTTTTCTCTGAATCTCCTTCTCTTTGTAAATCTCATCTCTCAGTTAAAATAAATAAACAAATCTTTTTTAAAAAAAAGAATGAATGTTCAAGTGATGTCTGAATCAGACAGCTTTTTGAATACTGCACGAAACCCTTTCCACATTATGGGGATCACATATGTGGCAAATCCTCATTCGTGGATTTATTATAAACTGTCCTAATCCAATCTTCTATATATACACCACATTTTGTTTTGCTTCTGATTCTTCCAAGTTTGGATCTCATGGCTTGCTGTTTTGTTTCCACCGGCTCCTCTCCCCACTGACCTTGCCTTTTGAATTTGACCCTTATTGATTTCTCCCTAACCTCAACCTTTGTAGCCCATCCATCCCGACTTGGATTCTTTCTGCACTTCCTCTAGGTTGTCCTAAATTCCTTCTTGATTGTGACTAAAAATAAAACTGAACTAGTTAAACGGAAGTGGAAATTTGTTATTTGTGCAGCTGAAAAAATTCGACATTAGGGCTGGCTTCACGGCTTTATTGATGGTACTTGTTAAGCCTGGCTTGTGGTAATAGGATAGTCACTAATGGAGACAATTTTGCAGCCTGGTTGGCTAGTGCCCCGATTGGAAGAATAATGTCTTCTCCCAAAGAATTCTAATTCAAATCTTCAACTTGAATCTTAGTGCATTGAGTTGAGACATGCACCAAGATGATGGGATGCGCTGATTAACTAAGCCTGGGTTATGCTGCCGACCCCTAGGATACATAAGGTCCATAAAAACACTTAATATAATTATTGCCACTCTTTTCAGGACTTGTCTTGTGTAGTTGTCACTTGTTAAGTCAAAGTCAAGTTCATTGACCAGTGCCTCTGTTACAAGAGTGGTTAAGAAAGTGATTGTCAAACTTTAAAAAAAAAATGTTATAATTTGGGAAAGAGGGAGGGAGAAAGAAAGAGAGAGAAAGAAAGACAGAGATAGAGAGAGAAAGAGAAAGAGAGGTAGCATTCCCATATACTGATTCACTCCCCAAATGCCCTCGATGACTAGTATTGAGCAGGTCAAAGGTGAGAACTGGGAAGTCAGTAGAGAACTCCCACGCAGGTAGCAGGGATTCTACTACTTGACTGATCACAGATGACTTCCCAGGGGATGCATCGGCAGGGAATTGGTGTCAGCAACAAGCATTCTGATAAGAGACATGCGCCTCTCAGCTCTCAAACTTCAGGCTGTGTCCGAGAGCCTGACTTTTAGTGTTAGTATTAGGCAGGGTCTCTTCCTCTTAAAGGAATTTAAACATGGATACCTAACAAGAATGACAAATATTACCTGAAGAAAGATGTTATCACTTGTACTAGATGCGTTGTGGTATACCCGGAACTAGAAGCATACTGGAGGGTTTTTCTCAAATGATGCTTTGTAAATTCAAGTGGAAGGTAATTAGGATTTTTGGCTAGTAATTAAGATTTGTTTTGGTTATATACAATAGTTTTTATTAGGTTTTGTGATTTCTACTGTCTACCATTTATGCTTTGAAGCTTGCCTTTATTCTGCATAGCTTTGGTGATGAGCTACGCAAATGGGCTCTTGCATCGGTGTTCCATGTAACAGTGTGAGATTTTGAAGAGTGTAAACTGCTCTGTCGTGTAACAATTCATGCATATAATATCTCAGTTCCTATAAGAGAATTTTGCCAAAGAACTGAGTGGAAAATGATCCTGAGGTCAAATATGCTTGCTTTAAGAAGGGTTGCTTTGGAATAGGGTTTCTTGAAGACTTTGCTGTGTGTCGTAAGCTATGAAAAATGGGCTCTATCACACAGTATTGCCCAACACATGTCACAGTAAAGGTCCGGTTAACAATGAGAAGACTTTGGGCCACTTTGACATTTCCCATGACTTTGGCTAGGGGATATTATTTTTTGAAAACACCATTTTGAACAGCAATTCTTGCGAGTGCATTTTGGGAAGCTGTAGACTGAGTTCATGGCTGGAATTACACTAATTTAGAAGTTCAGTTATTTGAAAGGCAGAGTCAAACACACAACCACACTGGATGGAAGAGAGAGCAGGAGAGAGAGCACACGAGAGGTCCTTCATCTACTGCCTTTCTTCTCAAAGGCCTGCGATAGTTAGGCTTGGGCTAGGCCACACCTGTAGTAGGAACTCCACCTAAGTCTCCTAAGTGAGTGGCAGCTACCCAAGGACTCAAGTCAGAGTGCATGTTACTCAGAAACTGGACTGTAAGTAAACAGGGAATTGGTCTAGCTATATGTATCTCAAACAGTGACTTAACCCACTGTGCCACAATGTCTGCTCTGGAATGACATTCATCTGAAGATTTGACTCTCAGGATCCCTGGTCTGTTTTGTGATTTATTTGTTGTAATTTATTTATGTATGGTGGTGTATGTATGTATGTATGTATTGGATTTTTATGTTAAAGCTGTTGGGCTAAGAGCCATAAGGGTATTCATAGATGAAAAGCTCTGCTTTGCCAGGCATGCAAATAAGCCAAATTACTAAGTGAGCCATTTCCTTGACATTTTTTCTAATTGTTTTGGCATATGAGTTTAACATTTGGATCAAATGGCGATTCTGGATAAAACGTAGTCTCAACTTGAATGATATGTGAAATTGATGGGTGAGAGGTAATGCAGGGTACTTCAAAAAGTTCCGGAAATGGCCAATGTGATGGCTCAACAGGATAATCCTTCACCTGGCACATCCCATATGGGTTCTGGTTCCTGGCTCAGCTGCTCCACTTCCCATCCAGCTCTCTAGGAAAGCAATGGGAGATGATTCAAGTCCTGGGGCCCGACGTGGGAGACCTGAACAGGCTCCTGGCTCAGCTTTGGATCAGCTTGGCTCTGGCTGTTGCAGCCATTTGGAGAGTGAACCACGGAATGGAAGGCTGTCTCTCATTCTCACTGTAAATTCTGACTTTCAAATAAAATTAAATAAATCTTTAAAATTTTTTCATCAAAAAACAGAATCAAAAGCAAATTTATTTTGGCATAT